AAATTCTTGGAGCACGCGCTTTTATTGGATATGAGCTTTCGCAGGATTTATACCAGACTTTGGATTATCGTATTCATCAAGATAAAGTAGAAGGTGTTGATAAAAAAGCCTCAAAGCACTTACAAGCCCAGAAAGGGACAGCAACGAAATCAATGATTTCTCAAAAGTTGACATATGACCGTTTAGATAGTCGTTTGGATCCAACAGATGGATATCTCTTAGAAATGAGCAATACCTTTGCAGGTCTTGGAGGAACAGAACGTCATTTAAGTAATATTTTTAGAGCAGGATACTATGTTTCTGTTTGGAAAGACGTTGTGTTTAGCTTGCGTGGAAGTGCTCCTACACTCCAGAGATCAGCTTTGGCATCATATCCTTTGGACATTATAACTTCAGGAGCCTTGAATGACAAAAGAGAAACAAACTTGTCAAATTAATTAATATTGAAAGTGTGATAAGGAATTGGAATTTTGAATAGTACTACATGTCACTCAGTAATCTTGAAATATATATAGTTAGATGCTTTAACACAGAGTTCTACCAACAATTGCTGTATACAGACAATAACAAATAAGAATTCTAAAATGTCCAAAATGGCAGTAATTTTCTTTTTAAATTAACCACTTACACTTACAAAGGTGGTTTCACCACTACCTTTTTAATTAAAGGTGAATCCATATTTTTAAATGGCCTCTGAAGACTGAAACAGAGTCATAGTAAAATTCATGCAACTTGAGAATACAAAAGATCTACTTTAAAATATACAAGTATTAGTAGTTTACACAAACCATGTACATAGGAGATCCACATAAAGTAGCAGCCATCATTTTACCAGGGAGAAATCTTGCAAACCCAAAGTCAGCTAAAATAATAATTAAGAAAAACTAAAATCAATTTTTTATCACTAAAAAAGTAAATACCTCAGAAATCTGCCACTATACCAGTCCTGATCCAAAATAAGAAAGGAAAAGGAAGAGGCTAGTAACTTGATGTTGTGAAAAGCTTCTTATGACAGAATACTGCGAGAATAATTTAAGACATTAAGGCTCATCTCAGAGAGGGTTCCCTATAAAGAAGTTTGACACCATGAGGGTGAAAGATTGAGGTTGAACTGAGGCCAGATGGAGAGTAAATCCCCAGACAGACACCTAGAGAGCCCCTATTATTGGTTACACCCAATGAGACATAGAAAGTACCTCCCATCCAAAACTTACCAATCTTTATTTTGATCTGTGATGGTGAGGGTGTGGTTGTCCCTGCA